TTCGGGAGTTTCCAGAAATCTTGGCCTACACTAAGAGTGGGCATTGCCCTACCTATAGGAGAAGTTTAGTTTCATTGGTGGGTATATCTTGACTGAACGAGGGTCCAAAAATCGATTTTTCTCAAAACAGCCTTTTCCGGGATAACCCCTTTGTGCAAAACAATGGAAAGCATAAAAGTTAGATTTTCCTTCGACCAAGTAACGCAATTTCCGAAGTTGTATACGACTTCAGACAGAGCTGTCGTGTAAACTGAGCCATATAGTTGTGAGTTCCCAAAGTTATTACATTATTACAAATTTAATTATTCTCGGTGTGTGGTATCAGCGTTCGGGCCTTACCAATAGGTCAAAGACTCCGGTTCCATTTTTTTTCTTTTTTCGTAAGGGTTTTACGGCACTTGCAGCACAATAAGGTCATATAAGTGCCGAAGATTAGAGGTGTTACAAGGGAGTATTGATTGATTGATTGATTGAGTAGGTGTTTTACGGCACTATCGACTCAATTTTGGTCTCAAGGGAGTAACAAACACAAAAGAGAAGGAGGGGAGATAAAGGTGATAGATGTCTGAAAGGAGAGAAGGAGCAAACCACACACGGGCACCCTCCTGCCACCCGCAATTCCATTCTGCTGTTGTTGTTGTTGAGTAAAGAGAAACACATCGACACAATAACGACGGTAATTTAGTGTGGGAAAAAGTATAACTGACAGAAACAACAGAGGGAAAGTAAAAAAGAAAGGGCCTACCAAGAGCAACCTCCAACCACCCGCAAAGCAAGACTGGTAGGCAGTAACAACAGTAGGAACAACAACACAGGGAAAACTAAGAACAGAACATAGTCGCATTCTACCAACGAGGCTTGTTTGCTTGTTTGAGTAAAGAGAACAATTGGAACCTTTAGTTTTAATAAGCGTTTTCGGTACTTGCAACACAATAGGTTTATATAGGTGCTGAAGATTTGGGGAGTTACAAGAACGTCACAAACAGAAAAAAGAAGGAGGAGAGATCAGGCCGATAGATGTTTGATAGAAAATAAGGAGCAAACCACACCAGAGCACCCGCCAACCACCAACAAAGGAGACCTACCAATTGCG